GCAAAGAAAGTCTTTGAGGGATACATAGCTTGCAGTAAAAGCGTTAGAAATGAGCTGTGTTTATTTGCTGAGGAATAGTCTGTTGTGCAAAATTAAAAAGTGTATTTGTATATTTAGTTTTATTTATCTAAAACTTCTACATTTATATGCATACTATTTACATTACACATGCAAATATTCCTCCTGGCACTGTGGATCAAATTAGAAGTCATCCAAAACATTGTGGTGGGATGATTGAGTTAGATTCCTATGCACAGACTTAATTCTTGTTTATTACTAGTGAGCTATTGGTTGATCTGATGAGTTAGAGGGGGGAAATCCCAGTGGCCTATTTATACAATGAGTTCTCCTCTCCCTTTCTTGAGTGAGAGTGTTTTTCTTCCCTTTGGCTGTTGATGCATAGCATGACTGTGGCTGGAGGAAATGTGTGTCAGTGTGTGGTGTTGTGAACATGCTGGAGGGAAGGGATGCCATCCAGATGGACCTGAACAGGCTGGAGAGGTGGGCCTGTGCAAACCTCATGAAGTTCAACAAGGCCAAGTGCAAGGTCCTGCACGTGGATCGGGGCAATCCCAAGCACAAGTACAGGCTGGGCAGAGAATGGATTGAGAGCAGCCCTGAGGAAAAGGACTTGGGAGTGCTGGTGGATGAGAAGATCAACATGAGCCGGCAATGCGTGCTGGCAGCCCAGAAAGCCAACCGTGTCCTGGGCTGCATCCAAAGCAGCGTGGGCAGCAGGTCGAGGAGGGGATTCTGCGCCTCTACTCTGTTCTCGTGAGACCCCACCTGGAATACTGGGTTCAACTCTGGAGTCCCCAACACAAGAAGGACATGGAGCTGCTGGAGTGGGTCCAGAGGAGGCCACAAAGATGATCCGAGGGCTGGAGCACCTCTGCTATGGAGACAGGCTGACAGATTTGGGGCTGTTCAGCCTGGAGAAGAGAAGGCTCCGGGGAGGCCTTCCAGTACCTAAAGGGACTACAAGAAAGCTGGAGAGGGCCTTTTGACAGGGTGTGTAGTGATAAGAAAGGGGCAATGGCTTTGTTTAAGAATTTAACTGAAATGTCAGGCATTTAAATTCAATGTTTTCTTCAATAAATGTGTATTTCCTCATTTAATGTGTAGGAAACAAGAGATGATGAAAAAAACACTGAGAAAGGCAGAGAAACAGTATAGTTATTTTTAGACATTGAAGTCCAGCCTCATCTGCTAGTGCTAATGGCATGATTCCCTGCCCATGGCAAGGAGTTGGAACTAGGTGATCTTTGAGGCCCCTTCCAACCCAAACCATTCTAAGATTCTATGTGTACAGAATTAATTATGAGAGCAGTACAATAGTCACTGATAGAAACTGTTCACGTCATCCTTTCATGAATATAGAGGTTGGTTGTTGCATGGAAAGGGGGAGGAATTAGCAGTTTGGCAGGATGTCTTTTCAAAGCATATTCCTGTTCTTGACCTGCTGAAACATTAGAAATCCCTGTTATTTTATGTCTTAAAGTCAACCTATTTAAAGGTTTATAATGGGGACAAAGCAGCAGATTGGGCGGTTTACAGCAGGCTGCTGTATCCTCTCCAAATAGAAAGGTAATTACTCAAAGCTGGGAAGCGTGCATACATCCATCTAGGATTCCTCTTTAATATTTTTTTTCCAGGATGGTGTGAGATGAAGTGTAAGATTGCTTTTTAATGGCTCCAGTAACTGCTTTTCAAAGTCTTGGTGCCTATGAATTTTTAAGAAGAAGAATGACCTGTTTTATCTCCCTTTGGAAAGACTCAGATCATAAATACTGAGGGATTTATGTTTTTGTGTGCTACCATAGTGATTAAATTTTAGCTTTTACTTTGCACCTGTTGCCAGTGTGCCCATGTGGCTCTACAAAAATGTTAAGTGGTGTTTGTAGTCACTACCTGACATAAATAAATGACTGAATCCACTCCTCCAGAAGCCTCAGCACCTATTCCCAACTCCTTCCCCACCTGTGCTAATAATTACGTCACCCCAAGAGCCGCTGATGTTTGAGTGTACCAGATGTGGCCTTGAGGGCCTGTAGAGCCAGACTCTGACGGTGTGTAAGCTTTGCTTTTGCTCCTTGCGTAGTGCTGCGATTGTGAAAGATGGTAGTAATTAAGATGAACTAAGATTTAAGATTAATCACCTCAGTATTAGCTATGCATTTTGGACCTCTGTCTGTTTTTCTTGATAATATGCCAGCATTTCCTAAAGAGTGAAACAAAAGTATTGGTAGCTCTGGTTGTAGGTCGAATAATAATCGTAATAATCTGGTGAAAATAGTGCAAGTGAAAACTAGTTTGTGTCAAAGCAGGACCATGCACTGTCTGTTCGGATAGATTCTCGTGAAGCATAGGATGTAGGGCTTGCTTTTGGCTGATGGAATACCTGAAATTCTGAGCATGCACATTGTGTTACAGTCATGGAGGTGAAGGAGATTAGTTTCTAAAGGACCTGAATGAGCTGGTGAAGCTGACTCTTGCATAGACTGCTCGCTTTCCTATAAAGCACCTTCCAACAGTTCGACTTCTCAGTCTATCCCAGTTGCATGCCGTCATTGTGTAATTTGGCAATTTTCTCTTACAGGTTATTGAAACATAAAATGTTAACATTTGTGTAGAAATGGAAGAATATGTAATTCTCATTTATCAATATGGACATTATTATCTGTAGGGTTGGCAGTAAATCTTGGATGCAAACTGCAGGAACTGTTAATCCACACAAACTTCAAAGTAGTGGATAAGGAGGAAATTCTGTGAGGATCTAAACATATGTCAGAATTTTGAATTAGATGCAGAGATGTGTTATAGGGAGAGAGAGCATAGAAACATGAAAGGTATTCTGTAAATCTCCTGTACTTCATCTGTGATGTTCAGAGGTGATCGCTGCTTCTGTAGCAGCAAACGTTGCTAATGAAATCAGGGAGTTTGGTAAAAAGACAGGGAAGTTGTTGGAAGCGTGAATGGCTCGTTGGAAGCTAGTGGTTGATTACTATGTAAAGTGCTGTAAGGAGTGGGAAGCCCTTAGTGTGTGCGTAGTGGGCCAGATCCCATCGCTGTCTCCATCCTCCAGTCTCCACTGGAAGCAGAAGTCTGCCCCTTCTGCCAGCTGAGATGGACATAAGGGAATGGACTTTCTCCTTCCAACCCATACCCAGGAGTTTTGTGGGGCTGGCAGGAGTCCTCCTTTACACCTTGCACCTTCTCTGGAGGCATTTGGGCCTCGGCTGTGCTTTGAGTGGTAAATCTGTAGTGTACCTGTAGTAGTGGCAGCTCTCATGGACCTGCCCCTCTGCCTGCTCTTGCCAGGATGTTGTTTTGAGGCTTTTTGTAGGGCAGGTGCTGCAGCTGCCTTCAGCCTCTCTGGTGCTGCTTGTGCATAGGCTCAGTGATTCCCTCTTACACAGGAGACCTTGCAGTCCGGGTGGCCTCATCTCCTGGGACCGCTGTGGACCTAATCTCATGAGAGGCTGCTGCTTATGCATGTCTTTTTCCCAACCTCCAGCCAAGTGGACTTGCTGATTTAACTCGCTCTTTTCCAAGGACATATGACCATTGGAACATGCAACATAGTGCCATTGCAGAAATTATTGTCCATCGGGTGTTCTTGACTTCAGGCAGTGTGAGCTACATCCAGAGAAAACAAAAAAATTCTCGTGTGTCCTTGCCTGCTTTCATTTCCTGACCTGTCTGAATCACTTTTCGGACTAAGGTCAGAGTCCTTAGAAGTGTCTTGAATTTTCTTCCAGTTTGATATTTTCCACTTTTGAACTCGTATCCTCCTTCCTGTACCACTTGCACCATCAGATCATCCATTGCTTGTTTGCTGGGCTCTCTAGCCGGACCCATTTCTTAGTTTGTCCAGGGTCTTTGTCCAGGAAAGTTGCCATTTGAGTAAAGGACTATGCAAGTCTAGTGGCACAGTTTTCTACTCTTTGCTTCTATTTTGGAATGAAATTTAAAAGACTTCCCAGCAGGTTAAAGAGGAACTGTGTGTCTGATGTAGCTGAAACATATAGGTGATTTTAAGCATCTTACTCCTTTCCTCACTCCTAAGACCACCAGTGGCATCACAGATGCTCTACAGGTTTCACAAGATCGCTCTGATACTCTTAGTTCACATTTGGAAGTTGTCTTTACAATAATGGAATCTAATCATATGGGTTAATTTAGAAGAAAATAGCTAGCATATATCCAGGAAAAATATCTGCAGACTCTGAGGAAAACAAGCTCGATGTGTTCTTAATCTCGTATGTGTGAGTCAGTTTTGTAAGGGAATATTTTTTATGTATAATACATACAGAGAAAAAAGGAACAGATGTAAGTAAGTTTTATGTATAAAGATACTATTTTGAATATAAAATTACATAAATTTGTGGGCTTTTTTTTTTTTTAAAGAGTGAAAGTCCTGCAGGAATATCAAGGCAGCCTTCAACAAAAGGATCAAGGCAACGCGCCAAACCCGGAGGAGAAGGTAAATAGAGGGAGGATATTATTTCTATTAAATATGCTGGAGGGTTATTGAATAAGAATAGCAGAAATACTTAAATATCCATGTTTATTATTTTCAGTGCTTGTTTTATACTCCCAGTCTGCATTTACGAATCCAATAGGCAATTTTTCTGCATGGATTTGATACCTAGAAGGTGGTACTTCAGTTTGCTCACATTCCTGATGCACAATTGCGGATATAAATTCAGCCTGCTCTCAATATTTTTGGTTAGTCTACAACTATTTCTTTTCCTGTTAGTTTCACAAGAACTGTTTCTTTGCATCATAATCTAGCAAGTTTAGACAAACCTGCTGTGCAAAACTTTGGGAGGCTTTTTTTTTTTTCTTTTTTTTTTTATTTCTATCACTGAAGATAAATGTACAGTATTACTGAGTTGCTAAAATATTGCATGTTACCTTTATCTAAAGTCACATGTAAAGGTTAGTTAGATGCTTACAGCAGAGCAGTATTCAGCACAGTATTTTTGTTTTAGTAAGACTTATGATATGTTGTTTAAGATTGTTGTAGTAAGATTACAGACATTTGTGAGGCAAGATGTACTTTCCTGTAGGGATAAGTCATACAGCCATGAACCCTGAATTTGTAACTTCATCACTTACTAATATTCAGGAAGAGTGCTTTTCCTAAATTCGTCTAGGGAATCCAAACTTCATTTATTTTCTGATTTTTTCAGTCGTTTCTCAAGGATCTGAAGTCTTATTGTTTGGTCTTTAGAAATTTGGGGTTTATAAATGAAAAAAAGGTCATATTTGTGGAAAAAAAAAAAAAACAACCAACAAAACAAAAATATGCAATGAAAAAGAAAAGGCATGTTCTGGCCAGCGCAAAAAGGAATTTCATTGGGTTTTTGTTCGATAAGGAGCACATTAAAGTATCCACATTTGTGTTAAACTTTCTGGGGTTTTATCAGTGAAAAGATGATTGAGTGAATTCTAGATCAGCCAAACCTTTCTGAGTGATTTTCATAGCTTGAGACGCTTGGAATACTGCAGGTGTAAGCTGGAGAACAGGTGAAGATAAAGTGTTAAGCATTTGATGGTTAGAGAAGATTTCCTCTGAGCATTGAAACAATGGCACATGTGTTTGGATCTTGGACTCTCTCCAATGTCTGCCATTACAGCTGTGATCAACTGTGTTGCACCTGGGCTGCTGTCAGACTAGGACCTTGTGATCTGAGTTGGAAGAGGGCAGGTGATGTGGATTGATGAGTATTGATGAGGATTCATCAATACTGAATCCTCCCCGACGGCGTCTTCCACAGTAGCTCAACCAGGTGTTGACTTGGGGCTGTTTAACAAATGGTACAATCATCAATAAGCATCTCTCCTGTTGGCCATTTCTCGTTGTGTCTTCGGACAAGATTTAAGTAAAGATTTTAGTCTTGAGATAGTTTTCACTGAGTTTAACAGACAGTGGTGCCAGGCTTTGCAAATAAGTAAATAATTTTATTTATGTTGTGATGTGCTTCATTGCAATTGATTGCGTCGCCAGCTTTTGCATGTAAGTGTATTAAATATTGTATTTGCATACTGGTTGGAAACTAGGTTCTCTTCAGAATATCCCAAGTGCTTAATACTTTCTCATTAAAAAGAAAGGAATATAAACTTAGTACTGCTAGCCCTTTGTGTAAGAAAGCTAAGAGGAAGAGCCTAGAGAAACATGTAGGTAAGGAATAAAACCAGCTGCTAACCCCACCTGGAATACTGTGTTCAGCTCTAGGGTCCCCAACACAAGAAGGACATGGAGCTGCTGGAGTTGGGTCCATAGGAGGCCACAAAAATGATCCGAGGGCTGGAGCATCTCTGCTATGGAGACAGGCTGAGAGAGTTGGGGCTGTTCAGCCTGGAGAAGAGAAGGCTCCGGGGTGATCTTATAGCAGCCTTCCAGTACTTAAAGGGGCCTCCAGGAAAGCTGGAGAGGGACTTTTTACAACGGTGTGTAGTGATAGGACAAGGGGCAATGGCTTTAAACTGAAAGAGGGCAGATTTAGATTAGATCTAAGGAAGAAATTTTTCACTCTGAGAGTGGTGAGGCACTGGAACAGGTTGCCCAGAGAAGCTGTGGCTGCCCCATCCCTGGAAGTGTTCAAGTCCAGGTTGGATGAGGCTTTGGGCAACCTGGTGTAGTGGAGGGTGTCCCTGGCCATGGCAGGGGGCTTGGAACTGGATGATCTTTGAGGTCCCTTCCAACCTAAACCATTCTATGATTCTAACCAGAGCTCGTGTAACGACCAGTGTAACTGCAAGTTCTGTCTGTATTTAAGTGCCTTTTTCCCTCCTACTCTTATTTCAGTGACTTGATCATCTACTGTCATTCGAGTTTTCTTTCAGGGTTTTGTGCCTGAGTGTTGATACTTTATTTCTAATGAAGAAGGCTCTGTACCTAAATCAGTTTAATATCTCAGTTCTGAAGATACAATAACATCTGTGAATTGATACCTGTTAAAACACCGAATTCTGGCTAAAGACTGGTCCTGTTTAATGAAGCATGAAGATCTTCATGCACTTAATCTGCCAATGTCACTGTTATTCATTTATGTAGAGAGATTATGTGTTGCTGTGTGTCTTCCCAAGCATCCATGTTTTCTTTGGGTTTCTGTTTTAGTAGGTTTCCATGTGTCTGAGGCAAAATACTGAAGTTATATCAGAGTTTGGGTAGTGTTTTCGGAACAATCAATAGCCATGTTTTCAAAAGGACTTAGGGAACAAATTAAAAAGATGTTTGGGCACCTTAAATACCTTGGAGAAGGTCTGGCGTTTTGGTTATGAATGCCTGTTGACTTAGGAGCTTAATTCAAGTTGGTGCTTGAAAATTGAAAATTTTACGTCACATGTCATGTACTTATTTGCTGTGAGATTTTAATAATTTTGCAGCTGAAAAATACCGTCTGGATTCCATTAAATGTAGTCTTATTTTACTACTTAGTGATCCTTAGCTGATCCTATAACTTTTTTTATTTCCCAAGATTTGAATATTTGTTTTATAGCCTGAGCTGGCACTAAACTCCGGTGAACAGACACGCCTCGTTTCATGGGATAGTCCCTTCTTTAAAATTAAGATCCTGCTTTTCTGATAAATGAAATATGGTTAACGACTTATTCTGTGTTTTGGCTTTAAAGTAAATATTTTAAAATACTTCTCTTTTCATGATGCAGCAAGCCAGCACGCTCAAATTTCAGTTTACCAAAATGATAAACACTTTTTTTGTTGTTCTAGTGCAGCAGAGCTGCAATAGGTGAGTAGGAGCAGTGAGTAGGGCTCGTAGGTGCTCCAGTAAGTAATCCAGAGGGGGTAGTAAAAGCCTTCTGGAGCTGTGCTGATGCTTGTTGCACACCAGTCTCTGTAGTTAGCAGTGATGATGACCAAAGCTTTCTGTATTTTCTGATATTAACTGGAGATAAAGAAATACACAACAGGAGAACGCAGAAGGGCTAGCGTCGTGACTAAACTTACAATAAACAAAACTGAAGTGGTGAATGGAGAACCAGTTAAGCAAAACCAGGTATATTTGCTATCCTAGTAATTAAAACCAGTTATACCAACATTTGCTTACCTCTGTTACGAACAGATTCCTAATGGTATTGGAGCAAATGTTTTGGATTTTTTTTAAATAGTTAATGTTACATCTATTACTACTTAGGCAATGACCGCTTTATAGTTGCAACATGCCTTGCAGCAAAACTTGTATCATGCAATAGAGACTGTTTTTTTCTAACTTAGAAGTTGATTTATAAATTGAATGTAATTTTTTTTTTAAACTCGCAGTTGCTCTTAATTGAGATCTGAGCAGATTTCCTTTAGACACTAAATTAATTTCTAAATGTAAATGATGGAGTAAAGTGCTTCACTTTCCACTGTTGGTTTGGCTTTTCTGCTAAGCTCCAGACCTTATGGGTAACTTGTAGCATTGCTGTATAGGTTGGTGATGAATGTGTAAATGCTTGTTTGGTTTATTAAATGACAGTTTTATTAAATTTTATTAAATTTACCTGACCTTTGTCAGCACAGGTAAATGAGAGACCTTTCTCTGCCGCGTGTTAACCTCTTCTAAACTAGTAGAACTCAGTATTTCTACTGCAATGGACTATACATCTTTGTGTGTGCTTCTTGTGGCATGGGTGGAGGAGGAGGTCCTCTGCTATAGATCTGTATGTCCTGAAAGCTTCAGCTTTATGCTGCATGCAGTAATTTCATCACTGGTTTTGAAAGCATTAGATGTTTCAACCCAAGCATTAGGCTGGTCTCCATCTGGTAAACCTTTTCCTGTGCTGTCAGAACCATTGGCTCATTTGTTCTGGTGGTAGAAGTGTCACCTGACGTGTCGTGGCTGTGGATAAGGGCCCTGTGATGAATCTGGTTTTTGCCTTTGCGTTCCAGTTACCTGTTTGGGAGCTCTGGGATCAGTTCCTGGGCAGCACTTTCGGTACCTCCGTTTTGAACACGCGTGCTCTTTCTGTGTCTGTACTCTTGCCTATTTCTGAATTTGTTCTGCTTCTGCTGCATTTCGAGGAGTGTGAGAACTGAGTATACGATATGACTTCAAGTGAAGGAAGGTTTGTGTGGGAGTGTGCATGTATGTATATATTTTTAATGATAAAACTAAAGCTAAATATTCCACCCATTCTGTACGTATCTTGACAAACGATATGAACAGTTTAACTTTTCTTGACCATGTATGTTTAACACACAGGTATATTTTCAGGAATGAGGTACAAATAGTGCTGAATTGTTCCTCCTTTCATTCCCTCCACCCTTAATGTCTCTTGTCCCTTGTCATATAATTCAGAAGTCACCAGTATACCTGAATACTTTGCTTTTTTTCTTCCAGTATGTGTTACCTTGCTTTTGTCAACATTGTTTTATTGTAACTGGGGGATGGTTAAACGGTTTAAATGGTCTTTCATTTTTAGCAAAAATAAAATTGATCCAGGTAGCATCAGACATGAACAGCATTTGTGGACGAGGCTATTGCATTACCAGCAAATTGTGGAGTTCAGCTACCAGAAATCAGCTTTTCTTCCTTGAAATTTCTTGATGGCTTTAGTACGAAAAGCGTTTAAAGCTAAAGCCTTTGAAACAAATGGAAGTGCATTATGCATTCCAAGTAGTATACAAACAATATTGTGTATTTTAAGAAAAACTTAAGAGTTTATTATTTCACCAGCTATCAGGCTAATAAATAGTACCTGTAATTCGTTTTTGAATTGAAGAAGTTGCCTTTAGTTTGCAGTAACTTAAAGAGTTCAATCAGTGGTCATGTAAAAAGTCTTCGTGAACTTTGAATGTTATTTGTTTACACTCAAGATGGTTTATTAAACTAGGATAGCCCTGAAAGAGAGGATGTAACAAGTACTTAGCATCGCTTTGTATTTTAAATTTTTATTATATCCTTGGTTTCATTTGACTATAAACTGTTTTGTTTTAGGAACTGTGGAAAAGAAAATCATGGCAGATAAGATTTCAGAGGACAGTGTTGCTAAACTGCAAGAGAACGCTGACCCAGGACTTGCAGTAAAACAGAAAGGTAGGAAGAATGAAAAAATTACTGCCTTGGAAAGTCTAACTCGAATGCTTCAGGGTCAGACTTGAACCCCTGCAGCTAAATGATTTAAGGAGGGTGATTTATACTTAATCCAACTGCTGCCTTGTGTTTTGGTTTGAAAAAAGGAACGTTCCCTGATAAAACAGTTACTTTTCTATTTTCTCTTTCCTTACTCTTAACGCAAGTTTTCAAAGAGGCCAGTGCTTACAGTGTCCCAAGGAAAGTGCAGGGCTGCTGTGCCTGAATCCCTCGGTGGCTTGTTCTATGTAAGACCTGAATCTTTGCATGTTGCCTTTTGTACAAAGTATTTGGGAGTCTCACTTAATGTTTGCATTTTACAGGATTTTAGAGGAAAATTCCATCTCTGCGTTCTTATTTCTCCTTTCTTTTTTTCCAAGTTGTACATAGCTCCCAAGACATTTGTTGTTAATGAGGTATTTGTATCCAGCTACAGTATACATGGAGCCATAGAAGCAAAATGTAGGAGGAAGAGCTGAGATTTAAGCAGAAAGCTGAGTTTTTGTTTTCTCCAGATCCAGATGCTTGACCTAGTCAGTCCGGTTGATACCATGTATGTGGGATGTCAAAAAGCTGTTTCCTAGTCCACCTGTGGCCTTCAGGGCCTCATAGCTGTGTCAGTCTAATGAAATGTAGATGGTTGGCCAAGACATTTGTGTGACCTTACACAACTGGGAGAACTTCCATGCTAAGTCCTTTTCATCTTTTGGAGCTGTCTTGCCTATTGGAACATCTTGTGTATCGGAATGTATTGGTTATATTCTATAACTTTATATTCCTCTATTTCTGATTTGAATGTATGTAAGAGGAGAAGTACTCCAGGTTCACTGTTGGATTTGGATAGGATTCTCAGGTGGTATAAGAACCAAATATTGTATTGACTGTTCTTTATTTTCAGCTTTGTTCAATAAGATAGTGTAAGATAGTAGCGCATTAGTGAACTTTAATTTTCTTTAGGTTCTTATAGGGGTGAAATTATCGTTCACATGTTTAATAGCTTTCACAGGTGGAATGGGCAATCAGTTGTGACAGTCGATAAAGACAGTCATTGCAGACAGATAGAGAAGTTGGATGCTATTTGGCAGTAAGCTTAAGTCAGTGATCACATGTCCCTTCTTGCTGTGTTCTTGTGTCTTTAACTACAAATGAAAGTTATGAAAGTTTCCAAAGGAAGAATAATTTATAGGATTAAAAAAAAAAAAAATTAACTGACTGACATAAACTTATTTTCCTGGATCTTTTGGAGTATTATTTCTGCATTCTGCCTCAGTCTTATATTCTGTTTCTGAGCATTAAGGCTGTGAACCTTTTCATTGTGTTTGTTTTTTTCTTTATAAATGAGGATTTGTCAGGATTTCTCCCTTGCTGTTCTCTATTAGAAATCCTCACTGGCTAGTCCAATGCAGTTTCTTAAATAGGAAGTATACGTTTAGAGCTTTCTGGCAAGAGTGTTTTGGCCTGCCTCAGCTATTTGATGCACCCCTGAAGTTACTTAGGTTCTACTTTTTTTTAGACATGTCACATAAATGCGCCCACTGTGACAAGAAAGGAGGAACAGTTGGATTTCACGGCCACTCTATAAAGTGTAGGCCCGCATGAGGCTTTTTCAGAAGCTAATGATTATGTAAGGTTTTTCTGAACCTTGTTAAATTCTAAACCAAACATTTTTTGGGGTTTCAGTGGTGCAGTTTATCTTCTCACAGTTTTGGTAATTACGTTGAGATACACTTCTCTGGGGGGAGTAATGTCAGGCTCCTTTCTAAAGCTTATCTCAAAGTAACCTTAAGAAGTTGTCACTCGTTTATCGAACAGAATCATAGAATCGTTAGGCTGGAAGAGACCTCGAAGATCATTGAGCCCAACTGTTAACCTAACACTGCCAAGTCCCACTAAACCGTGTCCCTAAGCACCACGTCTACACATCTTTTAAATACCTCCAGGGATGGCGACTCAACCACTTCTCTGGGCAGCCTGTTCCAATGCTTGACAACCCTTTCTGTTTAGAATTTTTTCCTAATATCCAATCTAAACCTCCCCTGGCATAACTTAAGGCCATTTCCTTTTGTCCTCTCGCTTGTTACTTGGGAGAAGAGACCAACACCCACCTCGCTCAGGCACCTACCACCCATCTGCAGAGAACTGGCCTTACACATGAAATATGAGCATCCATTCCACCAGCTTGGCAGTTTCTTAAACCAAGTTAAACTGATCCAATTCTTCAGGCAGTGTGTGAACACACGTGCTAATGGGAGGGAATGGGAAGTGTGAAGGCAGGAGTGCTAATTTGGTGGCAGTGCCAGTTTACACTAATGAGAGGGTTTAGGAAGCTCTGCTTAGTTTACCTGTGCCTTTTGGAGCATCCTAGAAATCACAGTTCTCTTACAGGATGCTTAGGCACTGTCTTGTTTGCTTGTGTAGCTGGTCTGTGATACTGTTTGGTTGGTTAATTATGCCTTAAGATTTATGCTCCAGCCAACTCTAGTGGAATCGAATGGAAACTGGATGTTGAAACTGCTCGAAAATCACAGTTGCTGCCCTTCTGCAACTCCAAGCCAACAACAGGAGTAGGTTAGTCAGAGAGGAGCTGGAGATAGTTCTTCTACAATGTTTTCAAGGGTTTAGGGGATACTTGGAACTACTTAAAAAAAAAAAGTATTACATGCTGTGAACTGCTTTTGAATTTCCTCTGGACCTTTAATTTTTATATTTGTGGACTGTGTAAACTTACTTTGAGCAGGGTGAGCAGTTCCTGTGCTTTCCTAGTTCGAAGTAGAGTGGTATGGCTTTGCCTCTCAGATCCGTTGTACAGATTTATACAATTCACCTTTTACACATCTCATTTAACTTTCAGGAGTATCAGATACTCAGATGTTCAATCAAAACATCCATTTTGATCCTCCACTGTCCTTTGACTTTTTAAAAAAGTTTCATTTCTGCTGAGTGTGTGCCACTTAGTGACCACAGCATCGACGTCTTTAGCACCAACGTGCAGATTTGTTGGAAACTGCTCCCTAAGGTGTTTCTCCAGGGTCTCCTGGCAGTAGTTCCCAAGTAAGAAGCTGGCTGTAGTTCTTGTTGTGTGCTTCATGCCTAACTTGGTCAGATTATTATTATTAAAGAATTTTTACAACTTCTCTGAAAAATCAAGGTATTTGTTATTTCCAGGTGAATTTGCCAGTGATTCAGGAACATTATAGTGACAAAAGACCAGCACTGAACGTACCAATGATGGTGCTTTTTAATATATAAAGCACTTCTCTAGTTTAGTGCTTTTTTTCCTTTTATGCCATGTATTAAAGAATTTTTAAGCTGTAACCAAACATGATTTAGTTGTGTTTGAATGCTTTTAGTAGACTTTATCCAAGTAGTTTCTATTTAAAAGAATACTAAAAAGCCATCTATGAAAATGCTTTATGTTAAGCTTTTTTTTTTTAAAAAAAAAAGATTTAATAGTTCAAAAAGCCATCTATGAAAATTCTTTATGTTAAGCTTTTTTTTTTAAAAAAAAAAGATTTAATAGTTTATGAGCACTTTATGGGTTCTAGCTTGAAAATAAGCAGAACCTGTGGGGAACTTTTTGCAATATGTTGCAGGTAGTTACTGTAAGACTCAGTTTAACAAAACATACGTTTTCCATTTTCTTAATGTCAGTACATGACATTGTTTCCCTTCTCTTATTACTTGTTGTGTTTGTGGCTTCTGTTCATACTGAAAGTGAAAGCGATCCACAAAACCTTTCCTCAAATAACTGGATAATTGGGCCAGAGACAGTGAATCTAGGAATCTGGTACATTGGAGGTCCCTGAAGCATCTCTTAGTTTGCTCTGCAGGTGTCACCGCGCTGTGCTGTGATACTGTCACTGCCCTGTCTCCAGTGGTGCTGTGGGGCTGGGATGGACCAGGAGAATGAGGTTTTAGAGATGCTCGTGTTTAACACAGAGTAAATGATTGCTTGCAGGACTCCTTGCAACTGTTGAATTTCTGCCTCGTGAGCAGCTGCTATGTCAGTGTGATGTATGTTGGGACGAAGTGAGAGCAAGAAATCAGCGGAGACCTTGACTATGGCTGATAACTGCTCCAAAAGCTAAATTCCTTTAGCAGTCTGCACTCCTTGCTTGATGGTAACTGTTTCTTTGGAAACGAAAGTAGTGGTTCTTGCAGGCGTTGTTTCCGGGGAGCTGGGTGTATATAGAGGCAAGGGAGGTCTGTACGTGCTTCCCACAAACCTGCAGAAACCTGCCAAAGGTCAGTGATGGCTTTCCACTATGAGAAGTGAAGATGTGCTGTTAACAGAGTGAGTGTAACACACAAAAAATTAAAAATCCTGTCTGCATAAAGGCTGCCAAAGAGTTCGTTGTTCGGTCTGACGTACTCAGGGCACCCGTGGTCACCAGTGGGCTGTCGCAGCTCCTGTGATTACGTGTGCAGGCTCCAAGCAGAGCCTTTATATGCAAAATTAAATATTTTACTAAAAAACAGATCTCTTGTTTTTATTTCTCTGTACTTTTGTGATCTCCAACATGTGGGAAAATGCCTTTTGCTGTGCAGAAGGAGAATTTTGAAATCCCTATGGCATCCATTGGGCAGGGATGCTAAATGAGGTACCCAGGGAAGTGCAGGAAACTCGTACAGCCAGCAACAGAGCCCACCTTTCTGACTCAATCTTAACGTAGGGACCACTCCAGCTTGGTCGGTGTACAGTGGTTTTTCCCGTACCAGTAAGACTGAGGGAAAACTTAACATAGTGCTTACGATTGTTGACTGTGTTTACATTTCTTCCTTATGTTCTCCAGTAGACCATAAGTACAATTAATACACTGTATAAACATAATTTTTTTTCTTTCAAAATGTGGGATATATGCTGCCCAGTAGTTTTAAATGAGAAGGTCCTACCCATGAAATGGCTGTTCAGAGAACATGCACAAACCTGTTAGGAAAGTGGAATGCAATAGACTCTGGGAAAGATACTTGCATTTCTTTGCCTGGTAAAAGCCCAGCTGCCTTGGCTTCTTTTTTTTCTTTCATTGGTGCCATTCTTTGGTAATTTCAGAGCAGAGGGACACTGAAGTGTACAATGGTGTTAGAGGAGTCCTTTCTGTGCCTGGCATTATATGGAAGAAATACTGACAGATTCATCCGAGCGAGCTTCCTAGATGGCGTCCAAGAACATGGAATGCTTTTTACCTACCAAAATTATGTGTAGAAATGCTAAAGCAGAAAGTGGGGAGTGATGTCCTTAAACCTGCACTGCTAGATTGTCGAGGCAAAGATGTCATTCATCTTGTGCTCTGCTGTTATAGAGAATGGTCTAGCCTGAGCTTGGCAGGTGTGGGTTCAGGCTGTTAGCTGCACTGGGCTGGTCAGAGTAGCTTGGTGGGAAACCTGTCAACTGGGATGGAATGGTAAAACTGGTTCAGTCTGATCTAAAGAGCAAATGGGGTCACCCCTGTGAAGAGTATAACTATGTTGGGGTCACAGAAGAAGCCCTCATCCTCCAGTCACAGAATCCTTTATGTTGAAAGGGATGCATGGATGGAGGTCAGCCAGTCCAACCCTCTGCCCAAATCTGGGTTAACAAGAACACCAGTAGAGGAAAATAAGAAGTTAAGGTAAACAAAAGAAAGGTTTTAAAAAATCCCAGCATAAGGAATATAAGGGGTTTTAATATGATATTTCCTCTTATAATTTTCTATAAAGAGCAACTTGAAATATGGCAAATATTACCACGGAACTATGGAAGAACTGAGTAAGATGATGTCATTTTCACAGAAGAGGGAATTTCACAATATTAAGAAGCAAATAAAAAAATAAAGGAAGCTTAAATGTTTTTTCAGTGTCCCTTTTGGATTGTGAATGCTCAGGGATGTTTAAAAACTGGAAGTTCACAAGGTATTTAACTTTTATATAAGTTTGTGGAATTTCATTTCTCGTTTAAAAAGTTTGTCACGTGATGATCCTGCCTGACTAATTTGGTGGCCTTCTGTGATAAGGTTACAGCATTGATGGGTAGGGGAAGAGCAACTGACATCGTCTACCTGGACTTATCCAAAGCATTTGATACTGTCTCACATGACATCCTTGTCTCTAAACTGGAAAGACATGGTTTTTATGGATGGACCACTCGGTGGATAAGGAATTGGCTGGATGGTTGCACTCAAAGAGTTGTGGTCAACGGTTCAATGTCCAAGTGGAGGCCAGTGACGAGTGGTGTTCCTCAGGGGTCGGTACTGGGGCCAGTGCTATTTAACATCTTTGTTGGTGACATGGACAGTGGGATTGAGCGCACCCTCAGCAAGTTTGCAGATGACACCAAGTTGTGTGGTGTTGTGGACACACTGGAGGGAAGGGATGCCATCCAGAGGGACCTTGACAGGCTGGAGAGGTGGGCCTGTGTGAACCTAATGAAGTTCAACAAGGCCAAGGGCAAGATCCTGCACGTGAGTCGGGGCAATCCCAAGCACAAGTACAGGCTGGGCGGAGAATGGATTGAGAGCAGCCCTGAGGAAAAGGACTTGGGAGTGCTGGTGGGTGAGAAGCTCAACGTGAGCCGGCAATGTGCACTGGCAGCCCAGAAAGCCAACCGTATCCTGGGCTGCATCAAAAGGAGCGTGGCCAGCAGGTCGAGGGAGGTGATTCTGCCCCTCTACTCTGCTCTCTTGAGACCCCACCTGGAATAGTGCGTTCAGCTCTGGAGTCCCCAGCACGAGAAGGACATGGAGCTGCTGGAGCAGGTCCAGAGGAGGCCACAAAGATGATCTGAGGGCTGGAGCACCTCTGCTATGAAGACAGGCTGAGAGAGTTGGGGCTGTTCAGCCTGGAGAACAGAAGGCTCCGAGGTGATCTTATAGCAGTCTTCCAGTACTTAAAGGGGGCCTACAGGAAAGCTGGAGAGGGACTTTTGAGAAGGGCGTGTAGTGATAGGACAAGGGGCAATGGCTTTAAACTGAAAAAGGGCAGATTTAGATTAGATATAAGGAAGAAATTTTTCACTGTGAGGGTGGTGAGGCACTGGAACAGGTTGCCCAGAGAAGTTGTGGCTGCCCCATCCCTGGAAGTGTTCAAGGCCAGGTTAGATGAGGCTTTGGGCAACCTGGTGTAGTGGAGGGTGTCCCTGGCCATGGCAGGGGGCTTGGAACGAGATGATCTTTGAGGTCCCTTCCAACTCTAACCATTCTATGATTCTATGTATTTCCTGAGCACACATTCAAATGTAGTGCTGATAAGATTCAAAATACTGTCATAAGAGAAGTTAGATTTGTGTTGCCAGCTAAGCTGAAACTGTATGTTTCTTTCATTTAATAGAAGGAGAAGCAGAGAACGTGGCTCCTGAAAACCCTGCGGTATCCGAAAATGGTGATGTCCCCAATGATGTTCCACCTCAGCCCATCCAAAGGTTTGCTTCTATCCTTTATTCCCTTTCAATCAAACTAAATGTGTCTGAAGATAATACAGCCCATTTGAAAACAGCAAGAAAACCTGGAGCAGTGTGTTTCTGCTAGTGGTACCAAATAATAAATATTATCACATGTATTGTTCCCTTTATTCACTTTATTCTTCTTCTGTAAAGAAAACTTTCACATTGTGAATTGTCTCAGACTTATTTTCTTGACCCATGAAGTGCTTTGATGTGATGTTTTAAATCCCAATTTACTTTCTCTTTGCCCAGCAAAGGTTTGTGTAATTACAGCACTTGTGAACCCTCTTTTTTTTTTTCCATTTGTGTTTCAGTGGGTATTGTTAATGTTAAATTTGGTGTTAATGGTAAATAACTCTGTTGTATATAGGTTATTTTTTTAGTGAGACAAATCAAGAGATGGTTTTATGCGGAATCATAGTTTTTTTTTGTTTAGGACGCATTTTCTAGATTTTCCTACACTCCTACTAGGATAGCAAGTATTGTGGCATTGGATTGTACACACTGGGGCTGTTTTCAGTGTTGTTATGCATTGGCTGATTTACTCAGCTCATGAGTGTTTACAAGTCTGTTCCTTTGGAGGACATGTGAGCCTGCCTTTTATAGTATAAATGAAAAAGTTTTTTTTGTTCTTGCAGACGCATTCCCCGTCCTAGCAGTGCAAGACCAGCACCACCCCGAGTGAAACGTCAAGAAAGTGCAGAGGTCGTACTTCCAGAAAGGTAAGGAATGTGGGAGATGCAGAGCAGATGTTTCTAGCTCTTGTGCCACAGTATTCTCAGATCTTCTGTTTGTCACCTGCTGCTCAACAGCTTCAGGATGAATCATCCGACTGCTCATTGATTCAGATTGGAAAATTCAAGCCTGCTTTATTTGTTTTATTGTTTCTGCAAATCCAGGGCATTGTCTAGAAGTTATGGTTGGTAGTCCCATCTGGAAGTTCAAAAACATGATTTAATTTTTTTTGCCTTTGGGAACTCTGAAACAGATGACCCTGGAACGTTAATCTAAATTGCCACTAGAAGAGATCTGTGAAACATGCAGTGAATATCCCGTGTTCAAAAAAGGCTGAAACAACCATTTGAAACTATGGACAAAATGGCTCACTTGATCTTTGAGAAGTACCAGTCACTGAAGTCGTGTGTTTAGAAGGAAAATGTGTGTCCTTTTGCAAGAGAAGGATGGCTAACTGTTTTCAGAGTTGGGCAGTGAAAGGAAATAGCAGAATTTGATGTGCTTTTAGTTGGTGCTGCTTTATTTTATGGGAGGAAGGGAGGGAACTGCTGTCTCTTCTCTACTGGATAGATCTTAATAGATTTGGACAGATCTTAATAGATTTTAATTTTCATTGTGTCTCTTTCAGGAGTGGTAGTGGTAAAACAGTCTCAAATGTCATCATAGACCAGCAGATTTCTGATGATGATGATGACGAGTTTGTGGTTGAGGCAGCACTGCCACTGCCAGAAATGCCAGAGATGGAAATGGTCTGTTCATGTTGCAAATTATATAACCTTTTTCCATACTTTGTTTGTAACTTACTTGTTTGAGTCACTTCTAGCTGAATCTTTTTCAATAGTTGTATATTATAGCAATGATAACTTACTGCAACTAAAGCTCTCTTCCTGCATGTGTAGGAGCCAGAAGTGGAGATGGTTGAGGATGAAAAGCATGGTACGTTTGCTTTTACATATGTTTTTATATATATAGAATAAAACCATGGGTTTAAACCAAATGCTGAATGCTTAAAATGCTGAATAAAGCAGCAAAATACCTCCTGAGGATAGGAGCTTGCAACTTTCACAAGAAAACTAGAAATTATTTATCAAATGCAGTCTTCTTTAGTTGAGCAGCTGCATTTGCAACTGATGTTAAGTACAGTTAACTGATGTTAAGACGTTTCTATACGTCTTTAATATCAGCAGGTTTTAAAATTCTGCATAAAAGTAAGAAATTAATGTTTCTTTGAGTGTCAGGTACAGCTTGTCAGCTCTGAGATATGAGGTACTGGCTGTTTGAGGCAAGTTATAGAAAAGCTTTTAGGAAAACTGATGGACTGGTTCTTAACGACGTTTATGCTTACTTGTGGCCTCAGATCTCTGATTCAGGGGCTTCCATTATGGTTACATTGGATATGATTTAAGCAGATACACCTACCTGCATCCAAAAATTCCTTGCAAAGGAATATGTGTATCTGTCTACATGCCTATCATGTGCAGTTCTTGAATTCTTCTGAAAGAGGGATGCAAAGGAAAAACATTTGTGTTAATACAGCTCAGGCATCTGGTTCTGTACCAAGAGTCATTCATGAGATGATACTGATGGTACAGCTTGATTTGATGGACACTGGAGAAAATAGATCAAGTAACAAACACCTTGTATCTCAGTAATTAGAACACATAGTAGAATGCTGTTCACGTTGCTCTAAAAATTGTTTACATAAAGAAAAATTAGCAATTGGTTTTGATTGTATTGTCTGAATGTTTAAATAACATTTTAGTGCCAACCAATGCTCAGAAATATACTGCTTTTTCAACAGGTGGGCTTGTAAAAAGAATCCTAGAAACAAAGAAGGATTATGAGGCATCACAGAAATCATTGAAGACGACAGAGAGGGTAAGATGGTAATGGCTTTCAACGAATTGTGAATATTAAATATTGTAATCGTGACCTTTTTCTCTGCCTTAAATGTGTTTTTTTCCATTTATGATCAAGCTTTCCTTCTGATGTGTTATGCTGCTTTTTTTCTCCATTAGTCTGTCAGATGTCGTTACCTTCTCTGTGTAGTGCTCTCTCTTTCTTACCTTTAATTTCTGTGATTTTAGTACAGTTTTTCAAGGAGCCTTCTTTAGCCTATTCTTTTGTTTTCCAGAACAAAGTCTGCTGATTTCAGCCTGGCCCTAGAGGTAGTAGGGCACACCGTGCATCTGTACAGCTGCACCATTATTGTTTCAATCTTACTTTTGTCCTCTAGGCATTTGAAGAGCAGTATCCCATTGCCCTGCAGTCATTATCACTGTCTAAAAAAAAAAAGGATCTCTGGTGCGGTTAACCATATAAAGTATTTTCATATCACTGAATGTTTCTCTAGTAATGTCCTAGCATACCCCAGCAATCACATCTGAATCTATGATTTGATTTGATTTGATTTTTTCCACGATCAATAGCTGGGAAAGGGAAGGTAGTTTTTGTTGTTGCTGTTTTTTTTTTTTTTGTGGATTTTTTTTTGTTTGTTTTGACAGCTTATAAAGGGTCTAGTAGTGATCACAGACCATAAGCAAAAGGTCTGAACCCTCCTGATTTCAGTGACTTCCTGTTACAACTGGAGAGCTCTTGCTTTTTCAGCCTTGCAAAGCTCATGTTACAAGAAGCAGCAAAAGGCAGAGCATTTAGATGTACTTTTCTGATCCATTGGCTCTTCAGAGAGTTTCTAAATCCCTGAACTAGTTCGATGTGCTGGTGAGGAGGCACTGAGGAATGCAGCGCAGAGTGCTGTTACAAAAATACAGCAGATACCTACTGTTTTGGAAAAGCAAGTGCTTTTCACGAACTCTTAAATCTGCAATTTTGATCACAGCTTCTCTCTTTTTTAAAATGATCCTTCAGAGTTGTAGGTTCTCACCACGTATATTCTTCAGTAATGATCTATAGTTTGACATACTGTTTTAAGATGCTGCAACTCAGACCTCAGGAGTCCAGCTTTTCACAGAGCATCAAGCTCTTTCAAATAGCTCTCTGAAATCAGTAGTGACTTCGGAAGCCTTGGCCACTTGACTGCCTCTTTTGGCTTTATCGAATATAATAATTTGGCAATGAGTAATGATAATGTGATAGGTTATGAGCAAAGCGTACAGCGGGAAAAAAAATATTCCTGAGGGAGTAAAGCCATGGTAGACAGTAGACTGTTTTAAAAGCCTGGTTTTATCTAGAACCTGTATGGCTTTATAATCACCTTTACAATCTGCAGCAGGAGTGACAGTGTTAAAAATGGGAATTTTGGGAGGGTAAAATCAGCAATTCTCTCCTTTTAAATAGAGATAGTCCCATATGCTTTCGTATCTAGTGGTAACGGGTTATGCTGCCCCACACAACAGCCTTTCCATTTCTTCCCCAGCAAGTTGAGAAAGTTGGGATGGCGGATCAGACCCTTGCGGGAGTATCTTCCTATCTGAAGTTTGGGACTATCTGAGATCCAGGCCTGCTTAGCTGGAAGAAAATTCCTTTCACATGTTTCAAGGGTTGAGATTATACAAGGAAATGGAATTTTTAAAGTAGGGAAACACCTTTAGTTTTCCCGTTCGTACTCTCTTATGAATAGTTACAGCTTTATCCAACCTGCTGAATTATACATCATTCGTTATTATAAACGCGCAGCTTGTCGCGCTCGCGTACCGATCACCGAAACGCTGTTGGCTGTTTCTAATGAGTGTCTCTGAGGTGAAAATTTGCCTGCCCGAATGAATTCTGTCTTTATGTAACTGTTGGAAGAAAAGGGAAGTTCAAAGTCCACATTGCTCTGTTTGTGCAGTAGCTCTGAAGCTCCTGACGCGCAGTTGAGCGGGCACTTGCAGAACATGAGATGCAGCTGTTCCTGCTTCTCTAACTAGATGGTGCTGTTGAATCATCAGTCTCAAGAGTAAGTTTTGGGACAGCGTTAGGAGTTCATTTAATAGTGTCTCCCGCCAGAACGGAATTGCGCTGTAGGCTCTACTGTTTGGGATGGTGTCCTGTCCACTTAAGCACTGGACACAGAAAGGGACAATGGGGGAGGGTTTACAAAACCGCATGGATTTCATGCTCGGGAACGTTCCTCTGGTGTTTGTGCTAAATTTTCTGGATTTTTTTTTTTTTTTCCTGAATAAGAGTAACTAACTAAAACAATTCCCTTTTAACCCCTTAGATTTTTTAAAATGCACATGGGCAATTGTGTCCGTCTACAATAACCATTGAGTCCCGTCGCCTGTTTTGAGTCCCTAAAACATTCATTCAGTCCTTGTTTGTCTTTTGTTGCGTCTTTTGAAGCCCTGATCTGTGTTAGCAGCACTGATAATAGACAACTAATTCTGGAAAAAAACGTGCTGACTTCCTAGTCCATCACGTGAAAACTTGCATACAGTGCTAAGCTCCTGGAATATCATCTGATCTCATATCCAAGCAGCTGGACCTGCTCCTGCAGTAGGTTTCTTTGCTGCTACTGCTTTTCAAATTCTGTTGAAGAAGTTGTTGCAATCCAGAGAGGAGAAGTGTAGCTTTCCTGACAGCAAATGAAAAAATCAATGGAAAAGATGATTAAAAATTCTCGGAGTTGGTGACTGGGACTTGTCAGATGTGGTTCAGAAAACATGAGCTGGAGACATTACTGAATCCTGGGAATTTATTTTAGAGGATAGAGACACTATGAGGCAGCAGACAGTAAAAGTAAAAAATTTCCAACCTGGCATTGCCTCTGGGAATATTTCAGGGACTGGATATGCAGAGGGTAGCAGGTGGGGGTCTGTCGTGCTTGTGTAGCCCTAGCAACACGAGCATGTCTCATCTCTGAGGGATGTTCCTAACATCACAAGGAAGACAGGGGCAGGATTTTTTCTTGTGAGACTGCAGACCAGCAGTTTTGGGAGGAATAGTTACTGGTCTGTGGAATCTCTTTGGAGAGAGGCAGCAAAAGTAATTAAAAAGAAAGAAGAGTTTCAAGTGGTTTGTTCCTGCCAAGCAGTCTAGGCAGGCAAGTGGAACCATGTCCTGTTCTGTTGATGGGACTGGGAGAATGGGTCAATGAACTCTGGCCAGTGTGCTCTGTTCAAATGGCCGTAGGTTTTGTGCCAGGTCTGGCTGTGCAGTCTGCTGGGAAGCAGTATCAGTCTGGGATTTGACCATTTCTCCCCAGACTGTCAGCTCTTTTATTTAATTTGTTTTCCATCAAACTCTCCAGAAGAAATATCTTCTACATCAGTATGCAACTGTATTCCAAAATGTATTATGCATTGGAGAGTAAAATGCAGTTGTATGTCTGTGTTTTGGAGTAAGGTAACCAAAAGTCCAGTGAAAATTTGAAGGAATACTTGCTTTGGGAAATTACATCTGATAAAATGAAGGTTATCCTTGTGTCTGTCAGTAAGAATGTTCATCTTCCCTCGTTTTGTTAAAACTATTCCGTATACACAAAATAAATGAAATATTTTCCTAGTTATATTCATTAGTCTTTAAAGCCTTGTTCTTCTGCCAGCTGGGAAAATGAAGGAAGAAAAAAATATGTTTGTAGACTGAACGCTGGAACTTTTGGCTAGTACTTTTTAAAGTCCAATATTCAGCAATAAATTGATTAATGGATGTACCTGATTTATTGTGGATTAATCAAATAGAAATTAGACGAAGTTGGTGAATTAATACTTAATCCAAATATAATATTGGTGAACTCTTGGGGATGTTTCACACCTTTAGTTCTAACTGCTGACTGCTGAGGGGCATTTATTTGTGTTAAGCATTCCTCTGAAACCTTTTATGTGCTGCGTTTCCCAAACATGCATTTGCTTTTTAAGAAGTTTTAATGAAGAAAAAGAAGAGAAAAGGAAAGAAGACTGGGACTTTCATCATCTAGGTTTTGCATGTGCAGAAACTTAAAATAATATACACAATTTTCAGGTCAAACAAAGAGGTCATTCTGGAAATACACAAGTTTTTGCTGCCTTGATTAGCTGTGTTCAGCCTAACAAATTCCTAAAAAGACTTCCTAAATGTATTTGTTTAGAATCTAACCCTCTAATGTTAAACAGAGAAAGAAACAGATGTTACATTTTGTATTCCACTTCATCTATTTGATGTGTGGAAAATGTAGGCAGGTTATTAAACAGTTTAAGCAAGTGGGATCACAGAATTCCCATCTTTGCACTACCAAATACAGTTCACAGGCTTCAGGAAAGAAGCAGCTTTGAGGTTTCTGCAAGGAACAAGTGATGTTAAATAGCTTAGCACCTGGATAATATTAACTTTAATTACAAATGTGATAAATTAAGTATGTACTTTTAAGCTTAGAACAAATACAATCATTGCTGATTCTGTTTGTTTAAAGTTCTTCAGGTCATTGATTTTTACATTAATCCATCAGCCACATGACATTGGGTGTCCCCTCCAGTCAATGCAATTAGTAACGTGTCACGTTAACCAGATGTATTCATATGTCCCACCATGTAAGTATTTTGAAGAGGCTCACCATTCAAGACCACAGCTTCTCAGCATCTTGCCAGCTTAATATGTCATAAAGAATGCTGACAGTAAAATTTAATAGGAGTTACCTGCAGAAGGGCTTTCATCTTTGTTTGACAGCTGTGTTCGTGATGATGTGACGTTAACGCAGTGATCTGAATAAAGTTGCAGTGAGAAATTTTTGATGCAAGCATGCAATTCCTAAAAAATAAGAACCGTACGGACAGACACCGCAGGAGCTTAAATTGAACGAGTGTATGTGCGAGTGTCCTTGTTACACTACTACCAACTCTCAGAAGAAAACCCATGGTTCCCCAAGTAATCGTGTTACAAGCTGCGAACACAGGAACAGGACTTTTGTCACTCTTGTGATATTCCTGCTATCATGGCTCCTTTGCTGTGGCCTTTGGACACAA